ATCAACCACAACAACCTCTACTATGACGCACCCCATCAGCAGAAAGCAGTTTGAGAGAGTCATCACCCCTTAAACAACAAAAAGATAGAAATGATGGGTTTCCATCCATGTGGAAAATTCTCCCAGGTGATCATGGTAGTGATCCAGCATAGCATAGGGTCCAAAACAATGTGTCACTCCAAGACTAATTTCTGTATTCTTCTTCTCCCAATTTAACCTCAACTTCCTGTTTCCTTTTTGTGCACACACCAACAATTCCCCAATCAGTTCTTGATACATCACCTTAACCACCCATGTAAAGTCCACCCAGCCCAATAAATACACCGTTCCCCTGCCTCCACCTCAGAGGATTCTTGCATTCTCCTGCAGCCCTCCTGCACTTACAATAAAAGCTTCTATTATCTCTGTCCGCTCTCATTTGCACCAAAGAAAAATCATACAATTTCAACAGTCTTAGTGGAGATCTATACTCCTGGAAGAAGATAAGGATGAACTAGAGACTGGTACATAGAACCAAGCAAAGGGAAGTGAGCAAAGGGAAGATTAACTCCAGGAAAAACAAATGTACAAAAAAGAAAAAAGCACTGGTCTGAATAATGCATGACATTACAGCAATTGTAAATGTGCAAATAATATGATACCCTCTTCCAACTCTGCAGAAAGGCCCCAGAAGGGCTGTGGAGAACCACCTGGATGGCTCTCCTACAAAGAACAGCATTTGTGTATGCTCTGCCTCTGTGTATTAATATGTACAGAGCTGGCTAGGATATTTACTTATCCTCTCAATTGGCTTTAAGCAATGCAAATGGGTCTAGTTGAGGTGCTGATGTGTAGTCTTCAAAGCAATGAGACAGGTCAGTGATGCTCCACCTACAGCTCCCAAGTAATATGTGTGAGCTAGGCTGAGTAAAGCCAAGCTGTTAGCTGAGAATGAGCCTGGAGAAAAGAGTCTATGACTTCTCAGGGCATGGAGTACACATCAGAACTGAAGCACCAACACCGGAACACCAGATACTACCCCAATCTTTGATATGCAGATTACTCTTTCTGCACGCCTCTCTCTCTGCATATTGCAGAGATTTCAGGCCTCCTACCTAACCAAGCTCACAGCACTTGCAGCCACTCTCACAGTCACTCATCCCTGGGCCACACCCCTCTTCACAAATTAATAAAACCTGGTTTGGTCCCAGGTCTTGTTCTGGTAAGCCATTATTCTGATTAGACTTAAAAGTCCTCTTACTCCCCACAACTACATATATGCCTTAGTGTCTTTATTCTCCACATGTGTTGTACTGTAAGTTGTAGCTTGGAATTAATTTATTAGAATTCTAGTAACTTTTCCATGGGATTACACACGTGGATTTTTCTGGACCACAATGAGGTCCAGAGGGCTTTCTATAAAAGGCTACTACAAGTCTGTGAGAGCAAGTGTGGGTGTGTTTCTATATAGCCAGCCTTTCTCTCCTATGATGGATATAATAAAAACTGGAAAGTAATTTAATGGAAAATCAACAGATTAACAAATACGTGGAGCAACTTCCTAACAAAACCAGAGGGAATACCAGAAAAAAAGGCAAAAGAAATAGCAATTCCTCCAACTAGAGAGTGGACATCTGAGATGAGGTAGGGTGATAGATGTAGTTTTCCAAAAAAATTTTGTATTATGCACATGCCTAATTAATTAAACTTACCTATCAGTAAAATTTAATATAGTAACTGATGGGAGAATTCACGAGCATCTCAACAGATGCTGAATAAGTATCTCATAAAATTTAGTATTCTGGTTTAAACAAAAATTTGCCTAGCAAACTAGGAAAAGAATTTGAATGCCTGTAATAAATTATTTTTCAATATGGCATATAGGACTCTTACACTGCTCTTACTCAATACTGAATGGAAAGAGTCTTACCTATTAGGTTAAGGAACAGAAAGAAAAAGATGCCTCTCATAACACAAACAAAAACTCCCTGGCACTCAGAGATGATATCCATTAAAAGATATGCAATGTCAGATTCCTGGGTGTGGCACTGTACTATAGTTATGCAAGACTTTACTACTACTGCAGAAAACTAGGTAAAAGGTATTTAGGTGTTACTTTGGATCTAAGATGTTTCTCAAAGGCCCATATGCTGAAGGCTTGGTGGCCAGTCCATGATATAAATGGTAAGTGATGGAACCATTAGGAGATGAGGTCTAGTGGGAGGTAGTTAGGTCACTAGAGCATATAACTGAAGGGAATGTTGGATCCCTGGCCCCTACTGCTCTCTCCTTTTGCTTCCTATGTGCCATAAAGTAAGCAGACTCATCACCTCATGCTTTCTACCATGATGTATCTGGTCACAAGCCTAAAAGCAATAGTGCCAAGTGATCATGGACCAAAACCTTTGAAACTGTAAGCCAAATAAGTCTTTCCTCCTTTTAAATTGTTTATCTCAGGTGTTCTGTTACAGTGACAGGACGATGACAAACACAAGCATCTGTCTGCATTTTTTGTCTTACAACTGCACAGGAATTCGCAAATACTTCAAAAGAAAAATCAGGAAAAAGATAAAAGTCTTTATGATGAAAATGCTAAAAAAAATTCTGTATTTATATTGCAGGAAATAAAAAATCCAAGTATATAAATGATAAACCACATACAAGGGTGGTAAGGTTTACAATCAGCAAGATACTAATTTGCTATAAATTAATCGAGAGGGGCTGGGGATTTAGCTCAGCAGCAAAAGCGCCTGCCTGGCAAGCGCAATGTCGTGAGTTCGGTTCCCGGTACCGGAGAAAAACCAAAAAAATAAAAAATAAATAAATTAATCGAGAAACTCAACCGATACCTAATAAAAACTCAAAAACTTTTTTTTTTTTTTTGGTCAAATCTGATCAGCTAAACCTAAACTAGCGAAGAATAAAGGGCAAGAAAGCCTAGCCAATTCTGAAAAACAAGGAATTGTGAGGGCTCACACTAGTCAAAATTTGTTATAAAACTGTGGTATTTACGAGTACGGCTCTGGCATGTGAAAAGATAAGAATAGCAGAAGAATAGATAAGAATATGTCAGAAACAGATCCTTAATAAGGGAACATGGTATACAATGGAAGTGAAATTTCAACCAGTACATAAAGAACGGACTATTCAACTAATAACGCTGGGACAACTACCATAAAGAAAATAGTCAAATTAGACTTTAGAGTAGGACAGAATTTCTCAACTCCTCAAAAGACCAAGGTATATAACAAAAGACTGGTAAGTTTGATTTTAGATCATGTAACCTTTTGTAGGATTAAAGAGATCCACAGATATGAAGAGTAAAAGCCTCTCTTAGATTAGAAGTAGAAAAATATCATCAAGAAAATATCTTGGAATACAATTTTTAAAGAGAATACCAAATAGTTACATATTAGTAAATATATATATGGCAACAGGCCCTTGCAGTAAAATTTTAGCTATATGCAAAGGAAAAACATCCACTGCTTTCAAGACATAGCTTATCTTGTACACAAATCAAGAGTAACCTCAATTTATATATATATATATAATATATATATCTTTTTAAAAATTTGCTTGAAGACAGGCATGATGGTGCACTCCTATAATCCTAGCACTCGGGAGGCTGAGGCATGAGGTTCAATACAAGTTCGAGGCTAGCTTGGGTTACATGGTGAGTTCAAAGCCAGCCTCAACTACATAAGGAGACCCTGTCTAAAAATAAATAAATAAAAATACATTTGCAATATAGATATCAAAATGTTAATACTTATTAATCTGTGCGGTGTGTATACAGATGTCTACTGTTTTCTGCATATTTAAAATACTTCTTTACGGGCTTCTGGGATGTGGGAAAAGAGAAAGGAACGAAGGAGAAATTTTGTATGTATGTATATACAGGATAGATAACATGGTTGTTCTTCTGTCTTCTATTTCTATGCTGAAAGAAACTGTCAATGAGTCTTTAGTTGACCAGTATTGCATGTTTATATCTGTTTTCATGAGAAGCCACTTTGAAGATATCAATATGTAATACAACCACCATTGTTAATTCCCTACCAGTTTGTAACTCTGTATTGTCTGTATTGTGCTTGTGATATGTTGTAAAATGTTGTATGTCTGTTAATGTTTCCCTCCTTTTATCTTTAAAATAAACAAAAAATAAAATAAAATAAAATAAAATACTTCTTTACTTAAAGAAACATATATACTACAGAAAGGTAATATAAGAATTAAAAATACAGTAGATCAGAATTGGAAGATAAGAGGAAGGGGGCATAAATGAGCTGAAGTTATATAATTCATATTCTAAGGATCAAGACATGTGTATAGCTGAAAACCAAGGACCAGTAGTACCTGCAGACTATTAATATCTACAGTTGTGAAGGCACCTCACAATAGACGTAAAACCACACACAAACCAGGTAGGGGAAAGCAGGAGTCTGATGCTTTTCATTTTAAATGTCTCTGACCATTTAAAATATTACCATGGGCTTACTTTACTTTGGGAGGAAAAAAAACCTTTTTGAAAAAAAGAAATTTCAATGTCCAAATCCAAGACTGTCCCATCACTGTTAGCTCAGGAGCTTCTCTCTGGCACTGGCTATTTCCTGTCTTGATTTTCTCCCTCATATTATTAGACTACAGAAATACTCCAGAGAATGCCTAGACCACCTCTAAAACATTTCCATATGTGAAATTAATATTGCCAGAAATTTCTGGGAGTAAGTAACTGCTTCAGTTAAAAAAAGAATGCTGCTAGAAGTACTGGCACACCCTATAAACCCAGCTATTTAGGAGGATGAGGCAGGGGATCACAAATTTGAGGACAGACTTGGCAACATAGTAAGATCCTGTTTCAAAATAAAAAATGAAAAAGCCTGTGGAGGTATTTCAAGCGGTAACTAGAGCATGTGACAGGTCCTGGTACTGGGGGAAAAAAAAGTAATATGCTATAAACTTTAGCAAATACAAGTATAGGACACCAAACGTAAGTCCATTAGGTAGCAAAATCCATTTACCCTGAAACGATGTTGTAGTTGAGAGCTGGATGGTCTTTGGAGACAGGAGGAACCAGAGGTTCTGGCTGCCACTCTTCAATCAATTCCTCCTTTTCCTACAGGACAGAAGGAAGTACAATATAGCATAGTGCTCAAGACTTTACACTGACTCCAGCAATGTCTAAACTATGTGCTGGAACAGAAATTTACAATGAATACACTGCCAGAAATCCCCCTTCTAGCTGTTGCGGCTGGAAGGAAAATGGAACCCTTCTCTAACTGTGTACACTTACCACCTTTATCTCTTTCCTAAAAAGCTGAAGACTTTTTTCCATGCGATTTTGTATATAACTTGACAATTTAAGAAACTTGTATTTCTATGATCAGGATTTATTTTTCCCCTTACCACATAACAACACATTCCTTGAGATGAGGGTACGCTGGAGTCTTCCAACTCAATCACTTTTGTAAAGACTACCTGGGTAACTCATGAAACTTTCATTTGGACAATAAATAACATTTGGACAATATGCAGTAACTGCTCCTGTTTCCTCAAACCATCTACTTGTTGGTTATTTATTTTCAGGAAAAAGTACAGAGTCAAAATATGGCACTCCTTTGAATACTGACTTTCTCCATATGTTATCTACTCTTTATTTGATTCTGCTTGATTTCCTTACATGACAAAACATTTTAACATAACTATATAATTGAGTCACAACTTTTTTAGAAAGATGCAACAGTTATAATCACACATCTAATAAGAGATGTAAATTTCTTACCTTGATTGTAAGATCTGATCGTTCTTGTAACTTGTAAGTTTTAGAGAAAAGAAGTCTGATTATCCACAATATTAAAATTCCTTCTAAAATAAGATGGTAAGCAGGAGCCTAGGAGTAAAAAATAAAAACAAAAAAAATAGAACACTTCAAAGCCTACACATAAAATTTAGCCAACCTGTAAATACTGCCACTAATGACCTTTAACCTATTGCTTCTTACAACTTACTTTCAAAACTCCCTTAATGTCTATTCATTTCTTTTTCCCATTTTTAACAACAGGTAGTGTTAACATGAGAAACCTGTTAACTTTAGATTTTAAAACTTCTTTAATGAATAAAAATGTAGTTTAAAAATGAAAATATGACACAGAATCCCAATATTTAACACAGTATCAATTATCACATCCTTCAGGTAATTTAAATACTTACTGGGAGAAAACGACTGTAATAAAATATTTCACAGCTCAATAATCCTTCTATCATCTCTATCTACTCATGGATAAGCTAAAAGAGGTAGGTGAAAACTGGTTTCCACGAGTCTTAATAAGCTTTCCACAATGTACTATATTTTCTGTATTCCCAATAAATCTCCTTAAATCCTGCCTGGAATATGGCAGAGGGAGAAAAACTTTTAAGTGCTTAAACGAATAGCATTTCTCTTTTCTGTCAGTTACCCAAAAGCATATTATGTTTTCCATATCAATATGCACAAGAATATCTTAATGAAATTTACTATCACAGACCTTTTTCACTTTTATGTTTTCAGGACAAAGGCTAGGCTGACTTGTGTGGAAAAAGTCCAGATATTAACTAAACCCCTACTCAGTTAGTAATGGGTTGCTCTACTCCAGTGGGCTGTTACTGGAAATATCATTTTAAAAAGGCAATTCAAAATATAAATTATTTTCAAGCATCAAACAAAGAGAAGTGATAATAATTTATTATAGTTTAAAAACAAAATAAAACCACCAAGCGAATCCAGAGCCTGGTAAAGTGCCAAAAAATACAGATGTAAATTTTCTACTCAAAGTACAATAACTTTAAAAGCACATATATATACTACACCCCCCCCATTACTTCTTTTTAGGGCAAACTATACAAGCTTCTTCAAGTTTTACAAAGTATACAGAAATTGCAAACCTGGCGTGGTGGCACACGCCTGTAATCCCAGCACTCAGGAGGCTGAGGCAGGAGGATCGCTGCGAATTTGAGACCAGCCTAGGCTACAAAGTGAGTTCAAAGCCAGCCTGAACTGCATAGCTAGACTCTGTCTCAAAAAAAAAACAAAAAAATGAAATTTTAAAAAAGAAGAAATTGCAAATACATAAGAAGTCTCTCCTTCAGATGACTTTTTTAAATTTGCTGGTCCCCTTAAGTATAATTCATTCAGGAACTAAGTATAATATTCATATTTTGCTCAACAGTTGGAATGTGGCAGGTAAATGTCACTAAGCAGTCTACCCACAGGGCTGGGGATTTAGCTCAGCGGCAAAAGCGCCTGCCTGGCAAGCGCAAGGTCGTGAGTTCGGTTCTCGGTACCGGAGAAAAAACAAAAAAAAAAAAAACAGTCTACCCACAAAGAAATTACTCTTAAAAAAAGGTGAGGAACTAATGGAGTAAATTAGTAACAATCACAAATGCCACTTCAGGAATTTACACCTCAGGAACTTTCCCAGTTCTTTCTGCTGGTCACTTTCAGGGTATAAGAAGTTACATCGTCAAAGACTTCAAAAGGGGAACAAACACTAACAGAAAATCATTCACTTCTGAAAAAACTGGTTATGGCTTTTCTTATCTTAATAGCTGTAACTAATTTAATGAGGATAGGAGAGAGCTAAAAAGTGTGCTACCTCCAATATTGTTAAAAATGCATTCTGTCTGGGAATGTCTTGTAATGGAACACACTATCATCACTCCTTCCAGTGAGCTGCAATACTGTTTCAAAAAAAGTTACCAAAAGAAAAATGAAACTTTAAATATAAGCTCTATAAGCACGGGGGCTCTGGATTGTTTGCCCTCTGAACCATTCTTAACGTCTAGATCTGTAGGGCACTACATTGTGATCACCAATCACATATGGATATTTAAATTTATATTTAAGTTTAATTAGATCTGTAGGGCACTACATTGTGATCACCAATCACATATGGATATTTAAATTTATATTTAAGTTTAATTAGAAATTCTGTTCCTCCTCGGTGCCTACAATCACAGGTGGTTAGTTACCACTATACTGAACAGCCCTAAAGTAGCAGATGCAGAAGTTCTACAGGAAAGCCCAGGTTGTTAAATTACTAAACATTCTCTTAAGATTGACAACTTGATTTCATATTATCTCACATACCTGGGATAGCCAGCCTTTCAAAGAAACAAAAACTTAACTATTCTCCCTAAAAACCTATTAAAATACTTGCATGTTTTCAAGACAGAAAATGGGATGTATGTGGGGAAATGACAAATTATTTCATATTCGTAAACCCAAATCCTTCGGCTTTTCTAACCCACCCATTCCCTACTCCCACAAAAACAGGCTCCAATTTTTCACATTTTTTCTCAAATAACTTCTTCTTATTTCCAGGGACCTGATTCCTCAAACACACATTCAGACAGAGTTTTAAACTCTCCAACCCACGCCCCCTGCCAAGAGCTCCTTTCCAGCGTCAGGACCCGACCCGCCCGCCTGAGCTCCTCCCTACACTCTAGGCTGGGCGGCCGGAACCGGGACCTCGGAGCCCGGCCGTCGGGGTGTGACCCAGTCAGCGCCGCTACGGCCTCGGACCACAGATTCACTGGCACCGTCACCCTCTCCCCAGGGCCGATGTGGCCGCAGTACCCACCTCGTAGAGCGCCTGCACCATCTCCACCAGTACCCACTGCTCCGCCGGGGTCGCCATAGTCAGCTACAAGATTTCCCTCCGGAAGGCGGATCACCGGGAAGTGAAACAGAGCGCGGTGCGGCGCGACGCAGCGCAGTGACGTAACGCGTCGCGGGGGCGGGCGACCGAGCGCGGGTACCTCTTCCTGACGCTTGCGCCAGAGCGGTTGAAGACTGGCGGATTGGGCTGGCTACGGTCCTCGCGTTTGCGAACAAAAGGCGTATCCTTGTGCTGAGGACTCTGGGTCCCGCGCTGGCCTCTTTGTGGCGAGTCACGGTTAATGACCCTGAGCTAGGCGGTCAGTTCGACGCAAACAGAAGATGATTACAACATACGTCGTCTCTGAAATTGCTAGTCCTTGGATGCATTTTCATTTTCTTGAAAAGCCGGAAGAAGTAACTACAAAAATGTTAAACTCTGGTACAACAGCCCACACCAAGAGCAGGTATGGGACCTGTGAGAGCCTTAGAGCGGATGCGCGCCCTTTTGATGGCATGGGGTTCTTAAAAGTCGGATCACAGAGACCTCGCATAATTTACTTCCTTGTTACTTTGTTCGAATAGCCCCCACAATATCATGTATTTTTAAGAGTGGGAGACTTTCTCAAAATGATTTGCAATTTGTATTTCTTCTTCCATTGGAGTTATGCATTTCCCTGTTGGTAAATGGTTATTTCTAGCGTCTCCCCACTTACAAACAACACTGCCATAAATATCCATGTTCCATGTGCTTTCCTCCTTCTGTGGATTGTGAGGAGTTCAGATAAGTTTTCTTAAAGTGGGCTTTTCATCAAAAAGTGTGACTAATGTTGATACTGTCATTGTCTCCCCCAAGTTTTTCAACCAATTTAAAATGGCTGGAAATGTACCCACACTGTAATCAATGATAGGTATTATTGTATCTTTAAAAAAAATTTTTTTTGTTGCCAATTTAAGGGATCCTAAATGATTACCTCCCTGGGCTTTATTGTCTATCTCCTTATTCATGAGATTGCATATCAACTCATTTTTATCCATTTTTATTAGCTTTTTTCATTTTCTTAGGGATTTATATGAACTCATATATTCTCAATGTCTTATATTTTCTTATTTCATATGTGAAATTTATTTTTGCTTAGTATTTTTGTAGCAGTTCCTGCTGTCTCACGGTATTTACATTTAAAAGTTTATGTCATGTGTTGGTCTGTTCCTTTATGACTCGTGGTTTACACCTTAGGGCACCAGTACACCTGTGTCTGCATTGGTTTGCTGTTAGCTCCTTTACTCTGCAAATTGTGTTTCTGTGTGATGAGATATATGGGCCTTAGTTATTTTCTCTAAAAGAATAACAGATTTTCCCAGTGCCATTTTTTTGGCTTTCCTTAGTACTCCGAAGTGGCACCAGGAGTCTGTGACTTTTCTGCTCAGACTTGGTGCTGTGCAGCCCACAATGCCAACGCTGTGCCCACTTCCTTGATTTCTACCCTTACACGTGTGCACGTGGCCTCCAGGTACATTCATTCTAATGGGCCTCACCTGCATTTCCCAAAAGCCCACCTTCGGGCTGATGGATCCAAGCTCCCTGCTCTAATAAGGATTTGGAAGTGTCTGAAATTTCTTTTCCTGGGTAGTATTTAATAGTGTGGATTGCTCAGATCTAAACATTACAGCTCCTTTGTTACATATGCACTTACACTTTTCCAAATAGGCCACATTTGGAAGTTTCTGGTGTTAGGAGATAGACATGTCTTTTGGGAGGCTACCTTTCAACCTACTGTGATTTTACAAATTCATTTCCTTCTCACATGCAAAATATATTCACCTAAGCCCAACATCTCTGAAGGTCTTAGAACTCATCTAAATATCAGTTCAAAATATTCAAAATATCATAATCTGAATCATATGTAGTTGAGTCTCTGGGTATAAATCCTACTAGCCAGAATTCCTCTACCTGTGAAACATGAAAACAAATTATTTGCTTCCAAAATACAATGATGGAGCAGGTGTATAATAGACATTTCCATTCCAAAAGAAGGAAAACAGAAGATATCATACATCCCAGCAAATTAGAAATCCAGCAAGGCAAGTCTCATTGTCTGAGAATATGATTTACAGCTTTTTTATCCGACTTCATGATTTCCTGGGCTTCTGTGTGCATCCTGGCTCAGTAGGTCTCTGGTTCTGCACTTTTAGCTTTTTATCCCTGTTCCCACAGCTCTATCCTGATAGTCATTCTTCCTTTTTTAACTGGAAGGGAGCTGAGTGGCTGTATCAGCACACTTTCTGTCTATAGAGTTTGAAATATCTGACAACCCTATTTTTTTGTCTTGTCTCGATTGTGCCTGGCCAAGCTGACAGTGTTTCTGCTGAAATAACCTGGAAGACCTTGTGGGTCTCCCACTTATGCTGTCAGGTGTGTATTGTTAGTCAAGAAGGTCCCCTACAGTTGTTTCCTGGATATTTTTATATCCTGGCCTTGGTAGGGTAGTTGAGTGGGTCCATCAGTTCAAGAGATAGTTCAAGGAAAGTACGTATTTACTTGAGCTGATAATGTTGGAGACAGTTTGGGAAGTGTGCTTACATCTTTACAAGTTAAGTGTGCTTACATCTTTACAAGTTAAAAGGCTATGACCCCTCCACCCCTGCCCTCCAAACCACATCACACTCCAGGTGCAGAGTCCTCAGCTGACCTGTCAGGTTAGTCACATCTACAGACTCGATGCAAAGTATTTCATATGTATTTTCAATGCTGGCTCCCACAGTGGGGTCTGATCAGAAGAGCAAGTCACTGGGAGTGTGACCTGGAAGGGTGTATCCCCCTCTCCATCTTCTTGCTTCTCTCTCTGAGGCATCATGTAAGCAAATTTCTTCTGACAGGACTTTCCACCATGGCTTTCTGCTTTGGAGCCAGCTGACTATGGATTGAAACTTCTTAAAACCATGAGCCCAAATAAACCTCTCCTCCTTTAAGTTCAGAGTTTTAAGTATTTTTTCCTGCTGATGAGAAAGTAACTAAGATTGATGGATAAATAGAATGATACTGACTGTAGGAATTACTTTATATCATTACATAAGTCAGGAGGTTCTGTGATCTGCCACCTGCAAGCTGGAGAGCTGGGAAAGCCCTCAGCATATTGGACCATGGCAACCTGCACTGGGGAAGGCTGCCTGCTTTATTCAGCCTATCAATTCAAGTACAGTAACTCTCCAACTTACAAACAAGTTCCCTCTCAGGAGGTCATTCATAGGCAGACTCATTCATAAGTCTAACAAAATGAGTCTTGTACACCTTTGACCCATATATACACTGTAAAGCATAAAAATACCCAACACACACACAAGGGGCTGGAGATTTAGCTCAGCAACATAGCGCTCGCCTGGCAAGCACAAGGTCGTGAGTTCAATTCCTGGTACCGGAAAAAAACAAAACAAAACAAAAAACCAAGCACACACAAATATAGTAAGTCACTGAACACTGTACTACTGTACACTATTACTGTACCATAAGCACACAGTGGAACACCTGTGCCAATGTCTGGCAGCAAACATGTGAGCTACACCTGTAATTTGTTCACATCTACAAATGTTTGTATGTGAGGTCCCTTCCTATCTGTGAAAGTTCAAAACTTGAACGTTTGTAAGTCAGGGACCTACTGTGCTGATATCCTGGAGACACCCTCACAGACACAGAATTAAGTTTATTGGTACATTTTAATTATACATAATGATCACTTTCATAATAGGCATTTTGCACCTGTACATGACTTATTTCAATTCCTTTTTTTCCTCATCCCCTGTTTGCCTCAATCCCTCTTTCCCTCCTTATTTACAAAAGCTTTTTTCTTCATTCATTTCCCTCTCCTCCTCTCCCTAGTTTCTCTTTCCATGTGAGCATTGTCTTCCACTTCCTAATATCTAATATATATTCTGGTACTTATTTACACTTTCAGTTTCTCACACTAGAGAAACAGTGGGATATTTACACATATCAGTTTGATTTATTTCACTTAAGAGTATGGACTCAAGATCCATCCATTTACTAAACAGTGTCTCAAGTTTATCCTTCTTTATGGCTGTGTAGCAAACCATTGTATTAAAAACTTTTTACACTCATCTGTTAATGGCATTAGGGTTGTTTCCAAGATTTAATTATTACAAACTGTGCCACTATAAACATGGGTATGCATAAATCATTGTGGTACGAGGTTTTTAATTTTTTCCAGGAGATACCAAGAAGAAATAGCTGAGTCAAATGGAACTGCTATTTTTAATTTTTTGAGGAATCTCCACACTGATTTCCACGGTGACTGCACCAGTCTACATTCCCAACAACAGTGGAGAAGTGTTCCTTTCCTTTTTCCCGCATCCCCACCAGCATTTATTATTGGTTGATTTCTTGATAATTGCTATTCTTTCTGGAGTGACATGGAATCTCAGCATTCTTTCAATTTGCATCTCTTGAATGGCCAGTGATGCTGAACACTTTGTCATATATTTATTTGCCATTTCTACTTCTTCATCTTAGAAATATATCCATTTCAGATGCCTAGTTTTGGATTACGTATTTAAATATGGGTGGTGTGGTTTTTTTGCAATGCTTTATATATTCCACGTATTAGTCCCTTGTCTGAGGAGTCGCTTACAAAATTTTTCTTTAACTCAGTTGATGATTTCTTTTTGCAAAAGCTTTTTAATAAGGTGAGATCCCAGTTGTTGATTCTTTCTAATATTTCCCTTGCAATTTGGGCTTTATTCATGAAGTCTTTGCAAATTTACTGTTTTTGATTAATATTCA